CTTGCAAAGACTATGGAACCCTAAAACAGCCTGTCGTCTTCAATTTATGTCCAACGGTGCGAGGTTTGCGCTTAATCGCTATGGAAAGCGCGGATCACCGAAGATGGCAAAGTGCCAGAAGCGCCGCGCGCGACACGTGCCGCGCGGGTGTTGTAGGAATAGAAGCTTGTGAGCCGTTGTCTCGTACAGCTACAGTATGATGTCGCACGCGTTGCCGCGTGTCTCTGACTTCTTTAACTCGCCGTTTTGAGGGACGAAAGTGGTATGTTCTCTGTGAACGCGTATAACAGTTCAAAAGGCACGGAGTCATTTCTGAGGACCACTTGATCGCGGGAAGTGTCTTCGAAAGGAGAATGGCTTTGGAGGCTCCCCCTCTTCGCCCATTTTTTTGCGCGGAATACGTGCATACCATTTACATCTCTTCAGTGGTTTCTTGGCTAGGGCGATACATAGTCGTGACGCTAACGAATACTGCCTCCAATATTCATTTGTTGGCTCTCCTATGGTTAGATACACCATCCTTTGGAGGGTCGTTCCTAGTCCTTGGGTAGAAAATCGTAGTTGGTCGACAAAGGTCGTTTCACTGATAAATTTTTTCCGGGCGCCGAGACAAGTTTTTCTGGTTGTTTACTCTCTTGCTCTATTCGACGGCGCCACAAAACCCCTATAAAACCACCTTTACAGCTGTTTTTTTAGACGCGAATTGGTGATAACCACCCGCTCTTTCAAGAGCGGGTGGTTATCACCAATTCGCAGTTTCCTGGAGAGAAGAAAAGAGGAACTGGAAAATTTTCTGGAAAACTGGGAAAAGAGATAGAAGTTGGGATAAATTAGGAAGGTGCTAGACAGGATAGGGAAGAGGAAGGGGGTCGTACCAGGAGAAGGAATCTGGGCGGAGGGAGGGAGAGGGGGGGATCGTACTGCACTGCCATTTCACACATCTCGATGCTGTACCCTCCTCCCCTATCAGTTGATAACTAGCCAACAGGGCGATTAGCTTATTGCGCCCGATGTCTTTTTCAGGACTACGGAGCTAATTTGAATTCTTAGAAGGGCATCAACGTACTGCTCGCCAACTAATGGAAAACATTCACTTAATCACTTGAACCATCTGCCATGTTGCTGAATATAGTCTAGCAGGGATTTTGTAACGAAAGCAAATTGAAAGCGAAATTTTGTCTACGAAACTTTTCGCGCGGAGCGAGACCACTTTTTCCAAGGTAAAGAGGGCTGATCAGACCTTGTGTCGATTGGCATCCCTATTCGCTTGAACAACAAATTGTAGAGTAACCAAGTTAACTTTGCACTCGTAATCGACCATAGCCCATGTTTTTCAGAGGTGTCCAGGACAGCAGTCGCGGAGTCCACCACCTTCTCGATGAAATAGAGTAATTCTACCTGAAATGCATGCTGTACTGTTTTGTACTATTGTAAATAACAATTTCAGTGTAAAAACCTAATGCGAAGTTCTAATGCCATGTTTTTTGACGACATTCGTGTTTAGTTCCTAATCACTCCCTCATCAATTGAAAAATATTCACTGCATAATTTCCAGCACTTAACAACGCTAATAGATAAATTAATGATACGGTTCGCGATAGGAAGCGTAGGTAGCGGTATTGAAGCATGGCAGATAAGCTGCTACGGTACTCGCCAGTGAAAGAGAAGATCCAAAAAGAGACATCGGCAAATCGCCTCTTAATGCACCTCTTAGCCTCAAGGCAAGCGGTTGTACGAGTTACAAGCCGCAAGAAACCGGTGCGTTGTTGAGGCGAACAACCTGCGACTCCTTAGCAAAGAAGAACCGTACAAAACCATAGGCAACAATCACGCTCTCTCCTTCACACTTCCCCGATAGCAGCGTTTCTCTCGTTGGAAGGCGAACCCTCAAGGGGAGCTGAGACGGAGTCACTGATGCATCTCCCCGCCCTAGCATCTCCAACTTTCCCCGGAGGAAGTGGTTCAAGGTCCATAGCGGGCCACTCTACTTCCCCGTCCAATACTTAACATTTTCACAGGTCAATGCCAGAGCGTCTCCTTCATTCGCTGCTTTCCCCCATTAGTAAACACAACAATCAAGTTATGGACGAGAGAAAAGCATCGTTTCAACAGACAAGGGCTCGAATCTCGAATTTTACGTTACCGGCTAGCATGACCCGGCATATATCCTGTTAATGATTTTGGTAGACAGGCCAAACATGCACTCGCCCTATTACAAAAACCTAATGCACCTTGTTAGCACTAATCACTTACCTTAACTGATCGAAAGAAATTAAGTAGTGTTTGTTCGCACAACACATTCCCAGGGGGCGGAGGGTGGAAAGTTTAAGGGATAAGTGGCAACACCTACCGCGCGTCAAAACAGAGATCAGTTCTCTCCTGATCCAACCAACTCTCCCAGCTCTAGGTCAAAATTGATACTAATCAATGTGTGGGGAAAAGCTGTGGTTAGTTGGCCCCCACAATTAACCCATATCGCGTTCCATAAGTCATTCGATTCTGAATGGTAGTATTTAGAATGCGTATTGCTTCCCAACGAAGGATTAATCAACGATGAGGCCTTCATCCTTTTATTGCGTTAGTCCACCATTCTTAAGATCTCCCAACGGAATTCGAATGCGTGAAGTATTTCTAGGAGTCCCACCTCACCAAGCACAGTGACCTTCAGCTCGATGTCATTTCACATCATGTTCGCTTCGCACAAAGCGCTCTGTCACCTAAACCTTCTCCGAACAGGCTCACATTATCGCGAACACGAGGCTTCAAAAGGGTTGAATGGGTCGAGACACGGCTATATGTCCTACAGCTCTCTACCGTTCTACTTTCCCTTCACTATTAAGTGCTTTTTACATCGACAGCCGAAAATCAGCTAAATTTGTTTTGCTGCCAACCGCATTAAGTACTACGACCGGTCCTCCATTTCACGATGTCACCGCCTTTTTCACTTCCTGCTTTAAATGCAGTTGGCACGATGGTTTCCTACTTAGCCTAAAATGCTAGTAGGGCGCTGTATAGTGGGGAAATGGCGAAAGAACGGAGTGAAACGGTCAAAATCCTGCGAAGAAAAAGCCTCCGTTCTCAGTGACTTCCGTTCTCAGTGACTTGTAAATCGATTTCGGACGAGTTTCCCGTAGGCATCTTACCAATCACCGCTACCGAAGATACGGCTGCATATGTGTACCCATATATGCAGCATCACGGCCGCTTCATACCAATCCCTCCGTCAGCAATTTGCCTTAGCCCAAATGAATGAATGAAGAGTGTCCAGGAACAGTCGTCCATTTGTGGGCGAGGCTCGGGCGTGGAGCCGGGGCGTTGCGCGACGTTAAGGTTGTGCTTGGTAGGCCATCTATAGGCCACCTTTCTCGGGGGCAAACCGCGATGCAGCGCCTTGCCCAGCGGTCGCGGAAGTCTAGTCCTGCCAGGGATATTGCCTTCCTAGCAGCTTCCTGGGGGCATTATCGTGCAACTGCTTGGAATGCTAATTCTGATTTACTGATTTTCTTCTCTGTGGTCTGTATCTCACCTCATTTCAAGCTAGGGCAACCTGGTGCCGCTGGGCGCGAAACTTTCTGGCGCGCGATTGCGACCCTCCCCCAATTTCTTACTTGTTGTACTGAGACTCCTTTCACCATTCTTAGCTAGCATCGCCTAGAATACTAAATTTTTTCTGCTTCCTTCCACTTTTGCCTAATTTCGATCACTTTTCCCATTTTTCCGCCCCACCCCCACCTGGTCCTCGCCTCAGCAACGAGCCAGAGCAAGCACCGCCCCCCCCTTGTGTTAGGGGTCTTTCGCGACGCTAGATACGTCGTGTGAAACCGAAAAAGCAGAACTACCAAAAAAATTACCACAGGCCCCACTATACGAATCCCTGCTGTTGCGTTCTTCCACGTACGATGTTGCCGCTGGTATTTCAAGACATTCTCGGCGCCAGTTACGCATGGGGAGGGCGGGACGGCGGCATTCCGTACTATCAGTGCTTCCTAGCTCCTGATTTACAATATCTCACTCGAGCCAAAGCACGCCAGAGACAGGAAGGGGTGCTGTTCTGTGCAACCTTCTGAAGCTGGAGCCAAGCCTCATCTTGCTGTTCATGGTAAAACCTTCAACCTTCGAGAAGAGGCTGCCTTAGATAGGTCACACCGTCGCGATGGCGAAGTAGCGACACGCGCAAAATGCGCTCCTTCGTCAAACGCTTCATTCCACATCGTGCTCCTCCTTTACTTATATCAGCGCCTAATTACTCTAATACTCGATTTGTACTTTGGCTGCGCCTGCGGCAAGTATGATTGTTAAGCCCTAGCCACTTGAAATCGAAACCCTCTACTTCCAGTACGAGTAGTCCACGATCAACCGAGTTCATAGGCCCTTCTTTGCACGAGATGGCGCATAAATTGCTCGGCCTAAGGATTGCCACAGCTCCGCCATGATAGTTGTCTCGCCCACATACTCGTGACTCTTCTTTTGTCACTGCGTATTTACCACGCTATAACGCGGCCTGGATTCTCGCCAAATCATAGTTTGTTCCTTTTCCCTCGTTTGTCCTTTTTTGTTTTTCTCCTTGTCTATTCGCTGTCTGTATGCTCATGGTAGTGCTCAGAACCGGCAGTTCTCTTGCTAATAACGGCCCAAAATCGCATTGAGCTGAGAATGAAAGAATGGTCCTGGTAGCGTAAAAACGCAACCACCCGGCAAGGGGGAGATGCGGGTTCGAATTCCGTCAGCGATCGGACTTTCGCCAATATCTCAGCATTCTTGCGATAGTTGTCGGTAACTTCCTTTTTTTGTCTGTTGTTGAGCGACGTGCCACCTTGACATTCGTATCTGAATATCGCTTCTACTCTCACCCCTCATTCCGTTTTCCTGATAAACTTCTTCTTTATAAATCCGATCACTTTCACATTCTGCCCTATCGACCAGTGTAAAGCTATTTTTGAAGGCAGAACACTTCACAACGATAATCGCCAGCAAACCATTGGTCACCCATCCAGTGGTCAATGGACAACTACATCTGCGTAGATCCGCTTTCGAGCAGGCCCATTGAATGCTGGAAAAAGTACAAACGGCTAGGACGAGTCTCTGGGCCAGCTAAAACACTCAGGTAACCGTCTTGAACGAGTCGATGAAACAAAGTTCCATAGTACTTTGCAAGTAAAATGAGCCTTTTACTATCAACGGGTGTACAGCCCTCATCATTACGTACACTCGAAATCCCTGAGATGAGGTAGGCGTGGCTGCGTACTTCAACTAAACGTCGTGGTGGCTGTGCTCTTGGAAAGACATTTTCATTTTGACCCAAATGTGGTCACGTCTTTTTCCAACAAAGAACAAGATGGCGGTTGTCTGAAATTTCAAATATCCCACGAGTAACCAGTTCCGTCTGCATGGTTCGAATGCCCACGCTTACCCCGTCTCAGGGATAAATGGAGTTATATAATGTCGATGCCGCACAGCCGCTCTGCACTGTGACGCGCCAGCGGCTGCGCTCAGTGACGGAATCAGCGATTTCGATTGCGAACTCGGCTGCAAATTCCCACTTTTCAGCTCTTCAAGCTTCTAAAGTGGAAGGTGAGTTATTCTGACCAATTTTGAATTGTACTGACTCTGAATGAATCTGAAAGAATGTAAGCCATTTGAATAAATGCCTGAAATAAGGCAAAATACAAGGAAAAGAGCATAATAATCGACATATAAATGAAGGACATAAGAGTCAGTACAATTCAAAATTGGTCAGAATAACTCATCTTCCACTTTAGAAGCTTGAAGAGCTGAAAAAGTGGGAATTTGCAGCCGAATTCCATCGAAATCAGCTGATTCACCGTCACCGAGCCCGCATTCGCCTGTCGCAGTCACAGTTGCCAGGCGCGGGACTGTTCCGCCCGACAGCCTACGTAGATATGAGGACTGTGTGTGTGTCGGTATATCCACGTTGAGGCAATGCGGCGAAAGTCGCACTACAGATAACCTCATGAGCGCGTCATTCGCACCAGAGCCAAAATTATTCATCATGCAAGACCTACAGAGTGAATTAGTGCAGATATAAATTAGCGAGGATCTGTCAGTTTGTATCGCGTCGCCTTTAACGTGGATTTTATCGAATAGTACCCAAAGGGGTAGACCCTTTCAACTGCGAGACAATAACAAAAGCGATCATTCATGTTCAGGCTTGACACCCCAGTTTTTGACAACAAAGTCAGGTTCGTCTGCATTTCCGATACGCACGAGAGGCTAGATGAGGTCAGTTATAGCTTGTGAACTACAGGTTTCTATTCCCAATAGTTCCTTGAACGTTAATGCAGAAGCAGAAAGTGTCACGAAGTATTGCGGGCAGGGCACATCCCGACGGGAGAAACTTTTGCAAAAGACAAAAGAATCACTCACTCTCCACCCCATTTCGGCGCGGTTCTTGTTTACAGCCTACCTACCAACTTGCCCCCAAAACTTTCGCCGTAGAGGGTAGGAAAAGAAATCAGCAGTCGGAGAAATTTATTCCAAGTCAGCCTCCCCTTCATCTATTGAACACGACCTCAAATTTTCTCGACGTATCTGACCGTGGGGGCAACAGCTCGTCGTCGCGCGTCGACGCCAGAAGTCTGAACGCTGCTTCAGGAAAATCATTAAGCATCGCTAAAAAGCCATGGAAATTTTTTGGAAAGAGCTTGTTTATCTCTTTCTCAGTTCTTTTTCGAGATTTCTGATGTGATCTCTCGTTTCAGTTTCTTCCAATCATCCCTGACGGTGACGTGTTGATTCATGCGGGAGACTTCACCAATTATGGCGATCTTGGAGAAGTCATCAAGTTCAACTCTGAAATTGGTGAGATGTTTGTATGTAACTTCGTCATTACCTGAAAAGTTAGTTTGAGTGAGCGGGTCAGTTGTGAGCTGGAAAGATCAGACACTTTGTGCTAAGCTCCACCCAGAAAGGGCGGGGCATGCGTCGGGAGTGAACGGCTACAATGGCAAAAACTCATAGTCCGTTGTCAGGCAGCCCCAGAGTCCGGAAAATGTTCGCTGGGGTCAGCAAAGGCTGGGTGGGCGAAATGGGCGAGATATACCAGAGGGGCGATGCGAACACTAGAAAGGCGGTGCTCGCTATAAAAGTTCGCAACTCGGTTCCAAGGCAGTTTAGAATATCAGAGAAAGATCGTTGAGGAAGATAGATGTCGAAACGGGATTGGTTATATCTGTCGCGTGGCGTACCCTGCAATGGACAGAGCTTACCCCTCAAGGTTTCAAAGAAAAATTTTCATAAAACTCTACCAAGGGGCTACAGAAAGCTCCAGGAAGTGTGGTAGATCAAAGATGGTGTCTGCTGTCGTCAGGGTGAGCATGCGCTGATGTTCGCAGTGCCATGGGTCGGTTCCAGAACAGACCAGATACCGTGAAAAAGTTTTCAGTTCAGCACGAGGCCATTGAATGATTTGAGAGAAACACGCCCACTGTGAGCATGGCGCGCGCTGAGGTACATAAGTGCGGCAAATTAAAGAACGCAGGACTCGGCCCGGTTTACTCCAGAAACCGGAGGAACGCAGATTAAGCTCAACCGAGGGGCTACGCGAATGAGATGAGACACAGATCGTATTAAGCAGAAACGGCAGGGACGATTTCAAGAGTTCTCTGCCTCACCTACAGCTGCACTCCAGACCTGGAAAAAATTTGGGGAAGGTGGGAGGGGAGGGCTGGTGGCTGACGATATGAGAAGTGAGTTTCCGAATTCCTCCAAACCAACATCTTTCATTTATTTCGCGCTGACTGGGAGAGCTGTAGGTATTTCTAGGACAACTTTTTTTAGGTCAACTCCCACATAAATATAAACTGGTGATCCCCGGCAATCACGAACTTGGTTTTGAAGACGGCGAAGTGATGAATGATAAGCAAATGGCTGGACTGAATATGCTTGGAATTAAGAAGGCTTATGAGCTGCTCAGTAACTGCCCACATTATCTCTCGACCCGCTCAATTGACGGTTACGCTGGTAGGATCAAACGGATTCGTTTACGGGTAGACCACACTCATCCATATGCGGAGTCAGGGCCTCATTATACCTTCCCGTTATGCGTGCCTCCACACCTACGATCGTTGAAAGGACGCGTAGCAGAGGCATACATAATATGCGTGACTCGACGCAAAGTGATTCCGCCTTCACTACAGCTACTAATAATAAGAAATTCAGGTATACGGTATAAAAGTCTACGGAACGCCATGGCATTCAATGCCCGGATATTCGTTCTATCGTCCACGAGGACAAAAAATTCTTCACAAGTGGAATATGATTCCGCCTAAAACAGATGTGCTTATTACTCATACGCCGCCCCTAGGTAAACCCACGTTACTTATTACTGTAGTATTATCACAGTCATTGCTATTATTAATCCCTGTTAAGCTTAATTCCCAAAAGTGAACAGTTTTGTGATTTTGAGGTCATGGCGATTTTAATTCATGGGATAAAATGGACGGGATTCTGGCCGGTGATGTTGAGTTGTTGAATACGGTCGAGCAACGTGTCGTACCAAAGTACCATGTGTTCGGTCATGTCCATCAGGTACTGCTTCCATCTGAATCCTTATGTTTGAAAATAAATTTGCTCTTTTTCAGATGCATGGTGCGACCACCAACGGTACGACAACCTTCATCAATGCATCGCTTTGTGATCACAAACTACGCAGCGCCTATGATCCTATCATTTTTGATCTTCCTCTACCACGCGGAGTATCTAAATAATTTGCATTTACAATGTGCATTTTTATTCTGTAAAAAGTTTATTGTTGTAACTTGTAAAAAGGCCTTAGCAGTGTAATATTGTGCGTCGGAAAGTATCCCAAGATATAATATTTTCCCCAGAAACTGATTATAAATAAAAAGTCATTTCGAAGACTGCTGGAGGTTAGGTTGTCGAAATATGATATTTACAGTCCTCATCATTGCGGACCGGTGGGGCGTGTCCGTGGGATTCCGTCTTCCGCGGTGTTGAAG